AAAATCAGCTTGTCAATAAAGCCTATTGTCTAATATGTTGTGGAGTCGTTGAATAAAGATAATTCTTTTTCTCAAATTCTTTTCTCTATATATAAAAGTAGCATATAATTAATATATGACTTTTCATTTGCTCATTTAGTGTGTGCCATTCAGCTAGGTCCATCATCAAGCACAATGTACGGATATATGGTTTTGACAGAAACGGCAGGACGCAACAAATGCATTTCGCACCACATTTTTGGCAGAACGACTGAGAGCTTCCTCAGAGAAAGTCGACAGAATGTCGCAAGGCTTCTTCTACAGCAGGTAGCAATGAGAAAGATTCTATTTTAACATTTAATTACAATTTATGGTTTGAGGACCATCGATCAAAAGCTGCTTTACCACTGGAACCACTAATAATGTCTAACGTATGTGAAAGGCAATGAACTTCTTAAACACGGTGAAAAGCATACAAGAAACATCTTCAGATGGCTGCAGGAAAAGTTGAAATTTTGTAAGCCAATAAAATCAGTGTAGTATATAACTGTACAATAAACAAGGTGTCTATAATAACCAGAGGTTTATTTCCAGGGATTAGGTCTTTGTTGTAAAGAGGAACAAATTAATAAGAAAACTTCTACCTCAAGGGAATACTATAAAAAACGCAAGAATATATATCAAAAGAATACTGTGTTCATTTCTTGATGTCATACCGAGAAACGCCATTAACTATCTCTTATTACTTACAACAAAAACAACAGGAATTTGAGGTGACCGACAATCATCAATGTACAATAGATTTTTTTTGCTGCTGTCGTATGCAGATGGAGAGTTTGGAGTTGTGAAGACTAGCCCAAAGGGATCATACGGAATCGCCGAGAAACATACTGAGGTGCATACACATTGATCCCCAGAAAGTGAAATCAAAAAAATATATATAACCAAAAAAATTGACTCACTGTAGTTTACTAGATTTCATACATTTGACGTTCGGTAGAGATTTGAGGGTAACTAACGTGTTGGTTTCTGAGGTAGACCATGGAAGTCTTTAGTCTATGCATTCCAGACTGACTAAACGGGACGCACAGGGTTTTGTAAGACTCTCAGTATTACTGTACAGTGGGTATAAATAGGAGATTCGTACCGACAGTTTCATTCAAAGATAATCCGATATTCGAAAAACATTACAAGTTGACAAGAAAACAGCGGAAAGTAACTTTTTACAACCATAGAAAATACACGCACCTCACAGATATGATTCTTTATTTTCCTAACATGATTATAAACTTCATTAAAGCTATATGGCCAACAAAAAGTAGAACACAACACAATAATAATGATGACAATAACAACTTCAGCTTTGAATCAACAAACTAACGAATCAAATACACAATCTTTCAAGGAAATAAACAAAACTATCTCATACCATATAGTTTCATCTGTTCCTCAATGTCGTTCATCGAGACCTGACCGAATCGTTCCCGGTTCGCGCTCATCAACTTGAATATCTCCTCGAGCTGACGCCGACGAATTCTGAACAGAAAACAAAACAGAACTAATACAGTTGAAAACTGTCAGGGCACAGAGTCAGACAGTTGTGGGCTACGGGGCAGTAATGCTACTAAAATCCGCAGTTCAACCACCCTGCGAGGTTGACCGCTAAAACAGAATAAACCTAATGACAACATAAGTGACCATTAACTAGCCATACTGTAGACATAAAGAAGCTATAGCCGGTCGTAACCCAGTTGGAGAAATGTGAGTAGTCGCCAGCTCAAGTCGTTGCTGTGTTGATCCACCGCTTAGCAACAAACGTTAGAACCTCAACCTCCACTTGGCACCTATTTAACGGTTTGGTTATCGGTTCCAGCTTGTAGTTTCATAATGGTCACAAATATTAAAGTTCAAATTAAAGATACCACTGTTCCCCTTTGGAGTATAAGTGATCCAATATGAAATAGATCGGTTGCGGAAAATTAAAAAACCGTGTTAATGTGTCGAGGTGCAAACAGTGGAACACATCACGGACCACTGCCGTATCCAAGCCTATTGCCAATTGCCGTAGAAC